GAAATTTTTCACTGTGAGGGTGGTGAGAACCTTGCCCAGATTGCCCAGGGAAGTTGTGGATGCCCCATCCCTGGAGGGGTTCAAGGCCAGGCTGGATGAGGCTTTGAGCAACCTGGGCTAGTGGGAGGTGTCCCTGCCCATGGCAGGGGGGTTGGAACTTGATGATCTTTAAGGTCCTTTCCATCCCAAACCATTCTGTGATTCTATGATACTTGGTCATTCATATCATCCCTTGATTCTCACTTCTGTTCCTATTCAGATACGTCCTCCTGCACTGGGATCTCCTTCCTCTAACAATGACCCTGCATTTCATTAGGAAGCCTCATGCTTTTCCACATTGCAGACTCAAAGTGTTTGCAGCATGCAGGAGCCTGTGCCTTCACCTCTCCATCCCTACATGTTTCCTGTTACAATACACTGGCTTCTAATCTTCATTTTCTCTGCAAGTCAGCATCCAATGGATTCTAGTACCAACGCAGCCCCTTTCACCTCCTTCAGCACACCCTCCTACTTCCCTCCCTTCTCAGGCTCTCTTGTCAAATTATTTATAGGAGATTGATTCACTGACCTGTTATGTCTAATTATATCTACTCACTTCTAATATGAATGGCAATTCTGCTAGGAGCTAAGATTGCCAAAAATGTTTTGACCTAAGAAAGAGGAGGTGGTGGCTATGTATGCAGATCAGACCCTATAAAACTACCCTGGGATCAGAGTGTCTTGTCCTTCCTCAGAAATCTCTACGGTAAGACTGCCAGAGGCTTGGGACTGGGGAGGGGGCGGGGGGTGAAGGGAAACTGGCCTGCATTCCACAAGCACCAGTGCGTTCCTACAGATGCTCACATTCATTCAATGGGGGACTGCCAGTGTCAGCTGGGATTTTCAGTCTGCTTTAAAGGCATCCATATGTTTTCTGTCTATAAATTTTCTCTGGAATTCTATGCAGCAGTAAGAAGGACATTGCTAATTCTGTTTTACAGTACTGACCAGCTCTCAGTCTGCAAGCCATTCATCTTGTCTCTCAAAAGGTAAGTTCTTGATTTATTTACTCTTTAGGGACAGATAGAGGCACCCTAACATAGGACTTCTATGCAGGTGTGCTGGCAATCCCTGTATTCCTTATATTTATGTCCACTGTGAAAATACTGTATGAGAATCGGGCTGCATTGCTCTTATCTTTACCACAAGATTCTCAAAGACAGTGGTCTTAAAAGTACTGATCACGGCTGCACTGCCTACATTCTACCCAGGATCCTTCTATAGACAGCAGTTTCCTATATTAACAGACTTTAGGTCCTAAGCTTAGGAGAAGCTATCTTAAGCTTAGGAGAAACTGTCCTAAGAAGAAAAACCCCTTCAGGAAGTAGTTTCCAATTACTTGTCATAAAGTAAATATATTCTTGAAGCAAACATTTATCTTTTTCTTTTTTTTTTTTTTTTTCATTTACCTCAAACATCAAGAGTCACTGGCACTAGCTCTGAAGCAACAGGAAAAGACACACATATTTAAATAATGTTAATATTTTCTTTTTCACAAGAAAGCTTGGAGAATGGTGTTAGAATGGTGTGTATGAAAACATCAAAGTGCTAAAAGAATACATATCACTCTGAGCTTCCTCATAAGCTTGCTTGTGCCTATGAAAATATTGCACAATTGTGATACAATTATATAAGCAAATATTAATAATCACAGGGAAATGAAGAAAGGAGTATACCTACTTGGATAACTAGAAAAAAAAAAAAAAAAAAAAAAAAAAGAGAGATGAAACAGCAACTAAATCCAAAGTTTTAAATATTTGTACCCAGGAAAATTATCTGTCTGTGCTTCTTTTATGCTTATTTGTATTAATTTCATAAACCATTGCCACTGCAATATATTCCTCAAAATTATAAAATGTCAACAAGCTATCATGTGTAAAGAATCTAACTAACATGCCTTGAATAAGTGGAGGAGAGTTAGTGTATCACTGATTTCGGGAAAAATTATATGGAACAGTCAAAGGAAAATAGTCACCAAATACTTTCCAAAGGCAAACTACTGACATATATACATGCTAACGTAATTTCTACTAACATACATACATATATACTATACATTGTAATAATACCATAGATACATTATAATATTATACAATATCCATACAAAAATACATGCAATATACATGCTATACATTAATATACCATAATATATATTACAATATATACTAATATAGTATATGTTAATATATATAATATGTAGTACTATTCCTGTTAGGAATCTTGTAAGGAAATGTGAGATATTAAAGGCACTGATAAAACTCGGTCCATTTTACAATCTTATGTAATTATTCTGTGAAATGGTCTCATTTGATCAATAACACTTTAAAGAAGTGGAAAATCATGTAGTTAGAAACAAAACCATCAATCTGGAGATTGTACTCATGCATTTGAATTCATAAAACTAAGTTGTGTCATGGAGTCTGTCTTTGCTGGCTAACAAGGTAAAGCAATTTGTTTTTACATGTAAGCAGTGGACTACTGACTAGAACAAGTTTCAAAATGTATGAAAATACTACAATAATTATTTAGATATTATTTCTGTCATGCTGGCCATACTGCAATAATGAGGTTGCTAAATGGTACAGAGTTGAGAAAAGAGTTTAAAAAAATATTCAAAGTTCAGGATATCTTTCCTGCAATCAAATTGAAACTGCTTCTCAAGAAAAAGTTAACCAATTATTTTATTTTCACCTAGAGGTCTGACACAGGTGAAAGTATTGATATGGAAATTAGCTTCTTAATTTATTCAGAAAAGCTACTCAAAATCCAGATTGTAGGTGACAAATCAACATAAAATTAGGGTAAAAAAGAAATAATACATTTGGAACTGTATTAATTTTGGAACAATATACCTAAATTCCTATTTCACATTGCATGAAACTTTTCAGCCAAGTCAATTCTTTGGTAATAATAAACAGAGTTATTGATATTTTAAAAAAATAGTAGTAAAAGAATGCAAGATTACTTGGTTTTTGTTATGAAAAAGATCAAAGCAGAAAATATCAGCTTTGTTTGTTAGCAGATGAATCTGTGTAATAATTGAAATAATAGACAACTTGGGCTATTTCATCCCAAGCAAATGTCTTTAATGAGAAGTGCTAATATTAGCTCTCTGCATATGCAGTGTACTGTGCCTCCTCCAGTGTTTTAATGTAAACAAATCACATAATCTGAAAGGTGCTAAACAAAGAAGGCATGAGAGACTGTTCACAATTACAAAATTAGGAATATCTAATGAGTGCAGTGATTGGAACCTCGGAAAACATCTGTTTATTCTGTTAATTCAACAAATAAACAGGAAAATAACCCACAGTGTTTCTCTGTAAATGCAGTCATCTAGTAAGTCTAGAGATCCTACTTAATAAAACAGAAATAAAGGAAACAAAATTATAGAACAAAGCTCTGAATTAGCAGAAAAAATGAAAAAGTCAGTTCAATCAGTTGATACATACAGCAGAGCACCATCTAATCCACTATGCTACAGGAGTGTTTTTTCCATTGTGTGTTACTGTATTTTCTGCCCTCACAGATACTTGCTGCATTACCCCTAGTAAACAGCAGCCATGTCATCAGACTCTGAGATGGCCATCTTTGGGGAGGCAGCTCCTTACCTCCGAAAGTCAGAAAAGGAGAGAATTGAGGCCCAGAACAAGCCTTTCGATGCCAAGTCATCGGTCTTTGTGGTGCATGCGAAGGAATCCTATGTGAAAAGCACAATCCAGAGCAAAGAAGGAGGAAAGGTCACCGTCAAGACCGAAGGTGGAGAAGTAAGTAAAAAAAAAAAAATTTCAAGGCTTGATAATATTTTACCAAATCCTGCCATGGACCTTTAGATGGTAAATGTGTATCTTCCTTTTCTTTGTCAGACTCTTACTGTGAAGGATGATCAAATCTTCTCCATGAACCCTCCCAAGTACGATAAAATCGAGGACATGGCCATGATGACCCACCTCCACGAACCCGCTGTGCTGTACAACCTCAAAGAGCGTTATGCAGCCTGGATGATCTACGTAAGTAGCAGCAGCAGGAGATGATTTCTGCTTTTGAGGAGTTGAAGACAATTTTCAGTCTCTCTAAAGAGCTTCCTTTCCTTCTTTCCTTATTTTCTATTTCTTCTTTCTTTCTTACACATGTTTTCCTCTTGCTGTCTACACCCCCTCCCTCTTCTTCCATCCAAATTTACCTTTCCTTGTTGCATGCTTTATCTCATCCATTCTCTGATAGGTCATTCCTCCACTTCATTTTCTTTCACTACCCTGGTCTCCGCAGAACATCATTAACCTCTACCTTATCTGCAGCTCTCCTCAGCCATCCAAAATGAGCATCCTGTCCCCCTTCCTTACAGACGTACTCGGGTCTCTTCTGTGTCACTGTCAACCCCTACAAGTGGCTGGCGGGGTACAACACGGAGGTGGTGTTGGCCTTG